GGTCCAATCATTTGATTTCTCAGAGTTTAAGCTTCTGAATCTGTAACAGGGAGCCTGGGACCAGGGCTTTGATCTTGTACTCTGTGCTCTGGTACTTAAAGTCTTGATCCTCTAGGTCAGCGCTTAGTCTCACGGCTAATCTGTGCCAAGTGTATCAAATAATGACTAAGTCCAAGCTTATCTTCAAATTTTAATTGTTGCAATTACATTTAATGATTATAATTAATAGTTGCTCTGAACATACCTTCTAAAGTGACTCGTTCAAAGCATCCAGGTGCAAATTGGTTATGAGCATTGGCAGCCAGCTCAGCCTCCTCATTTCTTTTCACTACAATTAACTCCGGCATGAGGACCATTTGCTCGTGGGTCTGGTTGTTTTATTTCAGTGTTGGCACATGCAGTAATTATGTTTATGTGCTCTCACTATGATCCGCTTGGACTGAGACTCAGCGCTGTCACCAATCCTGTGAGGTCTACAGTAGTCAGCTCTTGGCAGACCACTCAAGTGGGCATGCTGGCAGGACACACCACACATAAAGAGGCCGGAGGCTCATCGACACCATCCCTTTCCGCTGTAAGCAGTGAGATGCTCTCTGAGAAGGACTTTGGGGATGAGAGAACTTGAGAGGTGCAGGCCGGAGAGTGAGGTGGGAAGCAGCTGTCTGGATCCCTGCAGGCACAGGATCCCTGCAGGCAAACACACTGGATTCTCCCTTCCATTGCCAGCCCCTGACCTTGCAATTCTTCAGTTTGCTTGCAGACTGTAGACACACACTGATGAAGTTTTCCTCTCTGTGTATGTGACACCTAGTATTGCCAACTTCATGATACATCTGCTGAAATCAGCAGGTCATCCTTAGCCAGGACAGTTCATAAACAAGTCACAGTTCTTATCAGAATTGGTAAGTTCTGTCTGGGCTGCTCATATTTAGTCATTAATAACTCGCTCAACGTCTGATTTATCTCTCATGAAAAGCCAGGAAGCAGATACTCCAACTTCCCTCACTTTCCCCTTGAGAAAGCTGTGGATTTCCAAGACCAACAGCATCTGCCCAGGATCAGGTGTCAGGGTGGATAAAGCTGTGGCTCACAACAGTGCAATGCCAGAGTGTGTGTGCTTGAACCCACATTGCCTGCTAGCATCAATGCCTAAGCTCCCATAAAGGCCCATCACAGGAGAAAGTTCTGCAGGGCACTCCTAGTCCCCCACAGAGCCTAGAGGGCTGAGGGCAGAAGCATGGCTCTAGAAGACTGTGTCACACCCATGACACATATTGAACAAGAGTTTTGCTGAGGCCTGGGAAAGCCTTCAGCTTCGTGGGGAAGCATTTTTCCTTTCACTCTCATCAGGCTAAAAGGATTTATATATTAAAGTGATGACTCAGACTTAGAAAACTAGTAAAAGTGCCTTTGTTACACACACACACACACACACACACACACACACACACACACAAAGGTAGCCCAGCTTCAAGTAAAGCAGCAGAGCCCATTTAGTCATAGCCCATGGACAACAGGGAAATTTTAAATTCCCCTTTTCATTTTATTCTGTTTTTCTCTAATTGTCCATTCCCTCCAAAGGTGAATTCGGCTTTGGCTGTTTTGCTAATTCCAAAGGTATTAATGGTGACATAGTGTTCAATTAGCAGGAGGGAGGGCGGCGGAGGAGGAATACTCCGGTAAGTTGATCCGCCTTTTCCCACACCTGCTCAACTGCTCCAGTCACTTCAGTCAACAACAGCAGTCAAAGAAGCAAACAAGCCCCCAGTCCACCCAGCTCTCAAGTTCATTTCCCAAGCACTCATTTGAGTGACCCGTGATATTTTCACTTGGCTGTATGAGCCAATGACAATAGTTGGTTTTATTATGCAACGCCTAAAACTTGACTGATGGCTTCAGGTGTTGAAAGCAACAAAAATTCTCAATGAAGACTACAATTATGAAGCCTTTTAGGACTCAATCCAGGCAAGTTATTTATCTAAATGAATTCCCTCAGAATGAGGCAGCAGGACTGGGAAGGCATGAGAGAGACCCAGAGAGGCAGATGGGCATCCCAGGCTACCTACCCCTCAGGGTTTCTGGTTGCGAAACCCCATAAGGTGGATGGTTGGGGATATCTCAACAGGACTGCAGTGGTCCTACTGTGCTTTCTTGAAAGAAATGGATTGAGAGCTCTGTACAAAATGACACTTGATCTCCCACATCCAGAAGCTAAGTGGAGACCCCAGCCAGTTACATTTTTGCTTATGCTTGGCAAATGCATAATCTTTCTTTGTGTGTGAAAAAAATAATTCAACTTTTCAAAGCAAACTGGCATTCCAAGAAGCAAATTTTCTATACCCCAAATGGCTACATTTGGATCTGACTCATTTCTTCTTGCAAAACAGAGTGTATCTGTGCCCTAAGGTCCAGCAGTATCACCCTAGGAATGCAATTTCGCACAGAAAAAAAAGTATCATTTGTGGGATGAATGGAGTCCTTTATCAACCACATGAACACCCTTTTTTTTTTTTTAAGAAAAAGAATTGGCAAAGTGTTTATCAGGTCTGTATTTTAAAATTATTAATAGGTCAGAAATAGATTATAGTACTGGGTTAAATTACACAGGTACTTTTATGAAGCATTAATGTAACTGGAGAAAATCAGATATCAATACAAAAAAGATATCCTGGTCTCTATTCTCTGCCTTGTTCCAGATGGGGAAAGATGGACAGTGAGGCCGTTGTGTCTGAGACCCGGAAGGAAGTTCTTCAGGGCCCCACAGAAGCTAGACGCCTGTCTTGCACTGTCTGGTCGTTCTGAATTCTGAAGGCACAAAATGAGGAAAAAGTTGTCCCATGGTTGACAGCCAGTGCTCTGAAGTGCTGGCTGGAGGACTGCAGAGGTGGCTCAGCCCGGCTTCCCATGGCCTTGACCAGTGTCACCATGTCTTTGTTGGGGCAAGGGGGGGGGAGTGGGACCACCTTCCCACTTTACAGGAACACCTACAGAGGAATTCAGGTCTCTTGGATCAGTGTCTGGATTTGAAGTTGCCTAGATGTGCCACTTGTACTTTGTTGAGGGAAGGGAGACCATTTCTAAAGAAGACGTTCATGTTTACAGCTCGGACACTAGACACCCAGTTGGTACATCACAGATATTTGGTGAATTGAGTGGAATAAGCTAGAATCTAGAAAAAAACACAATTGGTTTTGTGGTACTATCCCCATTAATGATGCAGCTGTGTCCTTACGGCATCAATATGTGCACCAGAACTAAGAGTAACAAGGAAGGAGGTGTAGATCGGTGCTTCTCTTTGACCAAACCCTGTTCCCATAATACCCTTCCCTCTGCTCCAGATGGGTTGGATAGCATCACTCTGACTCATAGAGATGCTGGAATATTCCCATTACTTGGCTGTTCTCTGTGGTTCTTAGGGTGTTATGGGGGTTCCATGAGTTTCTGTGGAATGAATGAATATACTCATGGTTATTTACCTCAGGGACATCCAGATCTCCTGAACTGCAGGCTGGGCGGCACTCTCAGCAACCTTGAATGTGGGCGTGTGGAGAAATGGATGGTCAGGGTGTTTAGCCTTCCACCCTCAGCCCTCCTCGGGTGGGGCTGACTGTTCAGTTTTGGCAGATCCTTCTCTGACAGCTGTCAACCACTTCCTTTGTCAACCAGTTTCAGCGCAATGAATTATGGGTACCAGAACTTAGTGCTGCTTCTAAACCTATTTTCAGATCAACAATGCATCCACTGTTCTTCGATGTTTCTATGAGATCATACTTTCTGAATTTTATCCCATTCTTGGGCCTCTTCCCCATTTTCCTAAAAGAAAAAAGAAAAAGAACTTTAAACTATTTGGCACTGAGTGTGCTAGTCAGCTTGGCACTGTAATAAATACCCGAGACAATCAACTGAAAAGGAGGACTGGTTGAGTTATTTTGGCTCATGGTTTCAGGGGTATTAACCTATGGTTGTTTGGCCCTATGTTTGGGCCTATGGTGAGACAGAACATGCGGCAGTGGGGAACCTGTTGACCTCATGGTATCCTTCTCTTCCCCAGTCCTACCCCCTGCCATATTTGCAGCCTACTCCTTACCCCATTGTTGATTTCAGGATAAGACTAACAACCACTTGCATTTGGGGCCTTAGATTTGAGACTGGTCTTGTAAGACAGGGAAGTACATTTGCCAGGATTCCTTGCCGTCTAGCTTCAGGACATTACAACTATTAAGAAGAACACAGACAGCTGAATGTTGAGAGGAAGGGAACAGTAGAGGCCATTCCTCCCTACCCTCCCTACCCTTGCTTTGGTGAACAGAGGGGTCCTCCTTGGATCCCTCTGGGAAATCTGCTCCTGGGATTTGGCGGAACCATCTGTTCCTGTTATCCTTGACCCTAGGGATGGAACCGTGTTCTTGCTACTCTTGAGATTACGCTTTCATTATCTTCTCAACCAATCCCTGCACCAAATCTGATCTGTTTAAGAAACCTAGAGGGGTTTCTTTCTTCCTTCTTTCCTTCCTACCTTCCTTCCTTCCTTCCTTCCTTCCTTCCTTCCTTCCTTTCTTTCCTTCCTTCCTTCTTTCTTTCTTTTCTTTTTATGGCTTAAAAGTACTGACTTTAATTACTCTGGCAACAAAAATTGAGTTAACAAACATCTAACAAGTTCCTATTATAACTGCTAGACAGTGAGATCAGCTATCCAAATCCTTGTGCTGTTTTCTCTTGACAATAGGTGTTAGAACTCCAAGGGGACAGGTGAGTGAATGCTAATAAAGACTGTGTTTGCTAACCTAGCACCATAGTTCCAATCTCAGGACTCAGAAGTAGCTGGAGGAAGGGGAGCTGCTGGAAACATAAGGTAACCTTGACTTCTGGCTCTATGTTGGCTTTGCTGCAGCAGGCAGGGTGTGAGGCTGAAGAGGAACACAGCTTTGGGTTGCAGCTATGAAGGAAGCAGGCCCCTCAGGAGGGAACTGGTGAGTCCAGAGAGCAGTGCCGGGCAGGCATCAGGAACTAGGGGGTTTCTTCTTGGCTTCCAGGTCCTTTTTAATCTCTTCAAGCTTTTTAGCCAGTTTTGGCATGTCATAGTTGTGAGACAGATACATTGCAACCACATTGCCCAAAGTAAATCCAAGCAGGAACTGGAGCATGAGGTCGGTGGGGAGGGCGAGGATGGTGTGGAGGGGTTTCTTTATATAGCTCTTTCCTTTTCTTTCTCTCTCTTTTCTCCTTCCTCCCTCCCTCCCTCCCTCCCTCCCTTCCTTCCTTCCTTCCTTCCTTCCTTCCTTCCTTCCTTCCTTCCTTCCCTTCCTCCCTTCCTTCCTCAATCACAATGGCCCTGTTGCTTTGGGACTGTGGTGAGGCAGATCACACAGCAGATATGAGGACCTGTTGACTTTGTGATACTTAATCCACTCTTACAACGCCACATACTACATCTGACCTCATGGGAGCCAGCCCTCTTCCTTCCAACCATCCTGTGGGATGAAGCTCCCTCACAGAGGATAGGCATCTCTAAAGTAAGTGTGATAACTGGTTGTTTGTGAACAATCTCTGAAATACTGGAAAGACCGGTATGTTGCGTGTACTGTGTATATGTCAGTAATTAGCATCCAAATGCAGCTGTCCTTTGGTATCTTCGAAGGATGCTTTAAGAATCCAGTAAATATCAAAATCTGCCCGTTTCTCCTACAAAGTACTTGCTTATAAACCGTGTGCTTACTCCCACATGCTTTAAAATAGTCTCTAACTACTTACGGGACCTAAAACATTACATGTGCTATCTACATAGGTACTATAGTGTGTTTACTAGGGAATTACAAGGAAAATGTCTCTATGTGTTCAATGTCAATATTTGTCAATATTTTTGATTTGAAGTTGTTTGGATCCATGCAGAACGCACAGATGTAGTCGAGTCATACTCTCTGCATACTGAACATTTAATTTCTATTTCCTTTGGAGCAGTCACCTGGAAGATTCTAGGCTTGCACTGGAGAGCTCCTTTGCCGATCTCTTTGCTATCCTTCTAACCCTGGAGGCAGCTGTTGGCATCTGACTGTCACTCACTCGGTGTCAGGCCATCTAAGTGCTCCTCAGCCATGGATGCCAATGTGAATTCAAATCTAGACTCAGGGCATACATCTCAAAGGACCTCACAGATGATGATTTCATGGCTGCAGATTTCAATTGACAAGACTCAGTGAGAAAGTTAGTCTTTGGAGCCAGACACCCCAGAATTGAAATCCCAGCTTTGCAAGTCCTGAGATAACTTTGAGGAAATTGCTTCTTTAAATAAATCTTAGGGTTTTTTACACAGCAAATATATATAGGGGAAAAAAGCCTACTTTGCATTGTGCTAAGTGCAATAGATGATGGACACCTGATACCTCACAGACGAAAACAGCTGTTGTTACAGGTGCTGGCCTAGCATGCCATGAGCATGAGAATTTGTTAGGTCCCATTCTTAGTTGTAGGAAATATGGCTTTGGCTGTCAGCTCATAGCTATGAGGTAACTCAAAGGAGGGAAAGGAAAAAAAACCCTCAAGAGGGAAGAATCACATTTGATTTGTAAAATAAATCATACTGGCTCATCCTGCCACATCTGTATTGGTAGCAATTACAAGCCTTTCATTCTGATATTTTTTTTCTTCAAAAAAAAAAAAAAAACTTTTGCCAAGCAGCTGTGTTTCTTTTCTTGCCTAATCCATTTTATAAAATTTTCACAATTCTAAATCTGAGCAGCTATTGCTATACATAAGATAAAGTATGATTTTAAAAATAAAAAATGTAAATAAACAAACCAGAACAGCATCTAACAGACCCTGCATGAATGTCAACTAACTAACTCTGGCATCTTGGGACATTACAAAGTCCAGTAATTAAATGAGAGAATACATGTCTCAATCTTTTAAGTAAGGTAATTCTGTCCTATGATGCCTTGCTTTGTATACTAACTGAATAAAATAACACCTATAAAATGTTTTACAAACTTTGGTTTTAAGTGAAAATTCTTTTTAGTTAGGCACCTGGGACAGGCGAATCCAGATAAGAATCTATAAAATTATATTAGTCTTGAGACTTTGACCCAATAGCTATATATGAGCAAACTGTGACTTTAAATTTAAACTTTAAAAATAATAAATAATCCTTATTGCACAATTTGAATGAAATGGGAAAAAGTATGAAAGATTGAAAGTCCCCTTCTTCCCCCCAATTGTCTTCTCTGCACAGCTGTCAGCCATTCTCCATCCTCCCAGATCATAGACTATGTGCATTCATAAGCATTCATATCCGGAACCTACATGGAATTAGTTCCATTTATTATATAATTACATAAATGAGACTGAAGAATAGATTCTGAAGACAGGGGTTTTGTTTTTATTTTTTCAACCTCTCAGAAGGTGCTGTGTTATACGTTGTCTGTTCCTTCCCTCATCCTTTAAAGAAACTCAAGAGGCCCCTGCTGTGGGTTTTGAGTGGTTTCTTCCAGGCAGCAGGAGTACTGGGTACAGAGCTTATGGCTCTGAGGCACCCTGGGCTTGACTGCTTGAGTGTGGACAGGGCTCTTAAGGTAGCTGTCCCCTAGGAAAACCCAGGGCGTGAAGATGTCCTGAGACCCTGTGTGCCCCTCTGCCATCCCCACACCAGGTGACCTCATGCTTTAGATGGCCTTTCGGGAACACAAGAGTGCCTCATTTATTTCCAGACATGCTTGGGAATAAGTTAAAAGATCCTTTAAGGAGCCCAATAAATTTGCTTCTACAAAAATCTGATTTCTTAAGTGTGTTCTTTTCTGTGTTTATTCATCAGGCCTGTCGATCACAAGCTTAATTGCTTAGTCCTTACAGAGAGGATGCAAAAAAGAGGGTCAAGATTTGAAATGTTTGACTTTCATAGCACAGAGGACTAAGTAAATATTGAATGGTGCTGATGGAAACATATGACCTTGAGGTATTCAACAGGTGTTCTTTCCATTATGAATTGTAGACTAAATCCCAGCTTGAGGATGTGACATCAAGGTTGTGCTCCAACTCCAGCTCTGTTGGAAGGACCTGATTTAAGTTAGGAAAGAACACTGTTGATTTTATCTGGTAATTTTGTTGATTTTTTTTT